GTAACAGCAGAATATAAAATAAAGAAACAAGATCATTTAAAGCAGTAAAAGCCACATGGAAACATACGAGCAGCGTTAGTGAAGCAGCTGAAGGCGCAGGCAACCATGGTACTGAGGTGTGCTGAAGGGAAGGTCAGTAGCCCAGCAGAAGTTGAATGGAGAGTCGGATTAGAATGGGAGTGATATGGTCAGAAATTTAAGTGCAGGTGACAATCCTGGCAGCAGAGTTTGAATAATTTGCAGTCCGTTGATGAGTTTGTTAGGAACTCCAGTGAGGAGGGCGTTGTGGGAAGCGACAAATGAGTGAACCAGGATTTCAGTGTTGGGACAGCAATGAATGAACTAGATAAATGATACGAAGGTGGAACAAGGCATTCCGGGAGACATTACAGGGTATCTGCAGGTTTAAGGGAGCCAAATTTAAGACTTTTTAAGACCTTTTTTAAGGCCACTTTGACCAAATTTAAGCTTGTTGTCGTCTTCCTCCGCTTATCCGCGTCCGGGTCACGGGGGCAGCATACCAACTAGGGAGCACCAGACCGTGCTCTCCCCGGTCACCTCCACCAATTCTTCTGGCAGGACCCCAAGGCGTTCCCGGACCAGATTGGAGATGTAACCTTTCCAACGTGTCCTGGGTCGGCCTCCTGCCGGCAGGACATGCCCGAAACACCTCCCCAGGGAGGCGTCCAGGAGGCATCCTGACCAGATGCCCAAACCACCTCAACTGACTCCTTTCGATCCAGATCCAAATTTAAGCTATTTTTTAAATTAAATTTAAGCTATAATTTCCAGCTATTGCCTGGAACCGGTGCTAACCACGTCGCAAACATGTGATTAACCATCCATTTACCATTAAACTTGCACTTCTCCATGGCGCAAGCTCCCACTAGCTTAACCAGCTAATGTGCACATCTAAAAATAGTCCCCTTTCACAACCAACTGAATGTACGGTTCTGCTTACACCAGCATCATACACAAAAAATGCTGAAGACTAACTAGAAATTCACGAAAATGTCATAGAAATAAAATAATCCACTTTATTGGGTCTTTGGTAATTTAAGACCTTTGGAAACTGTATTTAAGGATTATTTGTCATTTTTAAGGATTTTCAAGGCCTCAAATTTGGAAAAGTAAATTTAAGACTTTTTAAGACTTTTTAAGGACTCGCGGATACCCTGCATTACAAACATGTTGTGCAAAGAAAAGAAAGGGTATTGTCGAGATCCACCCAGAGGCTTTTGACTTGTGTGGAGTGTTGGACTGGTTGCCCGTCAATGACAGCGGGGGGCGATGAAGCGAGCTGGAGTTAGGTGGTGCAAGATTTAGAGCCAATGAGCACGGCCCATTTCATTGCAATTTAATTTAAAGAAATCCCTGTTCATCCATCTCTGGATATCTTCTAGACCGGTGGTGAGAGAAGTAGGAGGAATTGTGATGGTGGGTTTAGAAGAAAGAGCTGCGTGTCGTCAGTGTAGCAATGAAAGTTTATGCCATAGTGTTGAAGGAGTTTACCTAGGGGGAGAAGATGGACAATGAAGAGAAGTGGACCCAAAATGGACCCCTGGGGGACTCCAAGTGGAACCCCTGACAACCCCGACTTGTGGCCCTTTAATTCCACAAACTGGTGGTGATCAGTGAGGTATGATGTGATCCAGGGAAGCACAGTTCCAGTGATTCCAATGCCAGCCAGGCGGTCCAGGATTATCGTGTGGGAGATGGTGTCAAAAGCTGCAGTGAGGTCCAGGAGGATGAGAATAAGCAGTCCAGTGTCAGCAGCATGGAGGAGATCATTTGTGATTTCTACCAAGGCTGTGTCAGTGCTGTTTTGAACAAAGACCAGATTGGAACGGCTCAAAGAGGTATTAACACTTTTTCACTGCTCGGCCTAAAAACAGTGGCCACCTGGATTAAACTAAGCAAGTAGATATCGCCCTCCTGTTGGATAATTACTGCACGGTGATTATCTTTAAGCTGGCAAATCCCAACTGGTGCAATCAGTTACTTCTCATTTCTTAAACAACCATGTGGAAAGACGCATCTGGTGGTCGTGGAAAAGATGCTTGAGAAGGGTCAGATCATTGCATCAAGCATGGAAATAAATCATGTGACATTGCAGAAGCTCATAAAAACACCACCACAGGGAATGTGTGCCGTAATTAAAGGTAAAGGAGGCTGAGTGACATATTAAAGTATGTGACCTTTTTTTTTTAGACCAGGCAGTGTGTATTCCTAATCTGATGCAGTGACTTGTTTTGATTTAAATGTTATTAATGCAAAAAGTCTCTATTACAAACTAAAGTGTGAAAAAAAAAAAAAAAAAAACATATACTTTTAGGATACAGTAGGAATAATTTAGCAAATTTTTCAGGTGTTTCATTATTTTATTAACATCTTCAAATGTTCACATGGTTCAGATGATTACAGGAGAAATTTAAACATGGTCAGAAGCAAAAAAATAAAATTAATTAAAAATAAAAACCACGAAAAACCATGATATTGTTACTTATTACTACCACCTAAATATTCTGACCTGGATAAAAGTGTTTTTGTTTGCAGAAAGGCCAAATCTTTTAATTATGGTGTTTTACTCAGAAATGCCACCTGTATTGCTGTGAAAAAGTATTCTTCTGTTTTTCTTTCTCTCTTAACTTCATTATACCTCGTTGTCTTCATCTGATCAGAGCCCAGGATGTAGTGGCAGCAGCACAGACGTTCATGCCTTCCAGCAACACCCAGCAGGAATCATTATGTTATTCTACGGGACTCTAAATAACGTCAGCGAGGGCTTTAATACTTTTTCATGGCACTTAACAAACTTAATGTATGGTCACGTTTTAATAACTAAATATGCTTTTTAAATCATCATTTAGAGGCATGCATTGTGTAATTGTTACAGTGTAAGTAAAAATGCTTTTGTATTGAAAGGCACAAGGAGAAAAAATAAAGCACTCCATGTCTGACCAGCACCAGCAACTGTACATAAGGTAAAAAATGAAAACTTCGATGAGAGTGGCAAAATATTCAAAAGGTCTCCCACAAATGTTTGCCTGCAACACTCCAGCATAAAATTTAACGAGTTACAGAAAATCAACTAGGTGTGACATGAAAACTTACAATTAAATTAGGGATGCACCGATCAGGTTTTTTTGCTGCCGATCACCGATACCGATATCAAAGAATGCTGATCACCGATACCGATCACGTGGACTGGCCAGAAATTTTCTACAACATTATAATGAGTGGTACAAACTACATAATCTGGGAATAAAGGAAATGTAACCTAATCTAAAATGGTCTGTATTAGGGTTGTCACTGTGTGAAAATTTAACCTCACGGTTATTGTGACCAAAATTACCACGGTTTTCGTTATTATCACGGTATTTTTTTAAACGTGCTACATTTTCCCACAATTAAATAAACCCTGTATGTCAGGAAATATTGTCCTCAGTTTGTGTCTAAATTTTGCCTAAAATGTGTTATTTTGTAATTATGTTGTTTATTTGTTTACATTTTTTCCCTTTAGTCTTTAAAATACCAATATTTGCCCATAACTTCTTATTTCATGTCTGTTTGATGTCATCATTTAAAAATATTAGATCAGATGATACTCAGTACTCAAGTAGCCTTCTAATCAGATACTTTTTTACCCTTACTTGAATAATAAACCCTATATCAGGAAAATATTGTCCTCGGTTTGTGTCCTTCCAGTGAGCTTTGCAGATGTGGGAAAATGTCATCAGGCAGTAATCATTGTTAAATTTATAATTATTCTCGGAGAGAGACCAACTCTTATCTGCCCCTGGGAGCCCCGTAATGCATAGTGTCATTTCAACATGGGGGTGTCTGTGACACGGTTTATATGCAGGTAGCGGCGCTGCGGCTGCTTTATATAGCGACACGTTGCATTCTCCCTCGACCCAAATCCTCGGATCACGCATTTTAGCTAAATCGCCAACGTTAGCTTGCCTTGTGTTGACTGTAGAGTTGTGGGTGATGGTCACGCAGATGTGTCATGAGATTTGAAGCGTTGCTGCCTTTCACAGACACTTTTTCTGCACGTGCTGCAAACAGGATAGCCGTCTTCTATGTCCCTCGGCATTCTTCAAATATCTAAAATATGCCCGTACTTCCGACTTTGTCTTCTTTGAGGGATAATAAATGTCCTCCTGAGCGCTGCCGTCTCCTCCTTTGACCATTATTTCAGCTTTAGCTTCAAGAAAGTTTTGGTTGTAAACAATAAAGCGTGCATGTGCCGCCGGCAACTTCAGCCGATGATACGGTGGCTGGTAAGGGTCACCGCGCCTACACCGCAGCCACGGTAATCCACCGAGATAATATAGTTTTTTAAAAAACAAGACGGTTATGATTGTCAACTTTTTTTTACCGGGGTTTACCGCTACACTGGTTACCGTGACAACCCTACGGCTGATCGGTCTACTTTAATCCATTTTGAAAATTCCGATCAAAACCGATAGGGGCGCTATCGGCCGATTACGATCAAATGCCGATCCATCGGTGCATCCTTAAATTAAATCCCTGCACCTGTCGCCATGATAGAAAAGTCTTTCCATCTTTCTTCACAGTTAGTTTTCAATTTTTGAATTCCTCTCGTATTTCACCTGCAGGTCAAGCTGATCTTTGCAAATTTGAAACAAACTGCTTATTAGAAATGTCTTCCAGCCATGAGATGACACCTTGACTGCACTGAATGCTTTTTGGAGTAACTAGTAACAATAAAAACTGTAAAAAGATAACCCCCATAACGATGAGATCATCTGTCTTTGTTAAAATCCCTTTAAAATGAAAAAAACACGAGGTGTTAAAATCCCTTTAAAATAAAAAACATGAGGTTTTAAAACTTTATAAGTATAAAACTTATAAAATATAATAAAAAAAACAAAGTGAATAATCTTTTTAAGTCAAGTAAGAACATGTTGATAGATGTATATAAGAAAATAATTATTTTTTTAATATTTAAAAGAATTAGAAGCAACAGAATGTGCAAAAATAGCCGATTCAGTTACTTTAATAGATATTTTCTCCATTTGAGTCCAACATAAAAACAGTAACTCTTAAATTGTCAAAACCACCAAATTAGCATTCTTCCAACATAAAATGTGTTTAACTGGAGAATATAAATTTAATCTAAAGGGCTCGTCCTCCAGCAAATCCAATCCAAAGATTTGGTTTTTATTAAAGTAATCTGGATAATCCCTGAGACTGAGAAACAAGGCAGATTAAAGCAGAGATTTTAGAATTTAAAACACAACAGCTCTTAGCAAAAACACAGTAAAAATGATTCCTGAACAAATAGCCTGGTAACCAAAGGAAACACACATGCTTGGCTGCTGTTAGTGTTTATACTTGCTGCCTCCCCGGCATATACCATTGGGAAATACGGCCCCGTTGCTTTGCAGCATACTTCTGATTCAGCAGCGTGGCGGTGCGCTCATCATCGAACTCTTTAACTCGACCAATGTAGAGCCAGCTGATGATCACGCCAAAGAACTGTGGAGACAAATAGAAATATGAAAAGATACGCAGAAGCCACCAACGCTGCAGGTCTTCTGTCAGTTTTTGTGCAGATATTTTATTAATAGTTCAGATTAAAGATGTGCCGATTTTAGGGCTGGTGCAGATTTCTCGTACAGCTAAAATATTGTTTATGACAGTTTCGAATTCACCTCAAAAGAACAAAAAACAAGTTTTTATTTCTGATTAACTTGAAAATGTGGATTCCAGATAGAAAAATAAAACATCCACACTGAAGATCTGTTGTTACAGTTAACCAACGTCTCGCAGTGAGATTGGCAGTTATGCATTCACAAAAGACCCATCACCAAACCACAAACTACACTATTGTTGAATATTGGCAGATATGCTCACCAGCTGGTCTTTTGGGCTACTCTTTTAATGATTGCCCATAGGTAAATAAAAGCTTAAGACCAATTTTTATAATCTGGCTTTTTACTCTGTGAGGTGACTGATAGTGTTGCTATTTTATTCTCATCATTTGTCTCATTTTTTAGGTACCATACAGCAGGTTGGTGGCATGTTTGTGCCTGGAAAGTACTTTGTAAATTAAGTTTAGGTTGAGTCGAGATGGTATAACCAATTTAGCAGAAGTTTCTCACTAATTTTCTTCAGTTTGTTTTAGAATTTTTTGACATTTCAAGTTTTTGCATTGTAAAAGTTATTATCTGTAATTCAAAACAAAAATGCTAAAGTTCAGTTAATAAGGGACACGAGTGAATATAACAGAGAGGACTACTTTACAATTTTTACAAATGAAAAATGAATCTCCACAAATAACACCAGCCTGGAGGAGATTTTTCTGGTGGTGGTGGTGCTGCTTATGCTAATGGTTAGCTTCTACTATTCAGGGCGTTGTCTGCTGATTCAACAGCCTTCCTCTTCGTGAGTCAAGATGGGTGAGCCCATGCATGTTAATTGACTGTGTGAATGCAGATCCGTCAGGATTTTCAAATCCTAGAGTTTCATCTTCTATTTCCTATCAGAAGCTAATGCAGGAGACAGGTGTAGAACACTTTTTAAGTGTTCTGCCTGCATGAAAAACTTGGTTTATAATTAGAAAAGGGATTTCAGTGTTCCACACCTTTAATAAAATGAAAATGAATTTTAACATTCAATTTCAGAATAGCACACACACATCGCCAGAAACATGTGAAGCCCTCCCCTCCTAAATGATGTACAAAACAAAAAAATCAGGTTTACGTGAAAAGATTCAGAGACATCAAAGTCTGGAGGAGAAAGAAAATTCGCTCAGGTTTTCTTACATCTAAAGAGAAAATAAGCTCTTCCTTCATTGATGGACAAGATTGTTTACTAGTCGAACCAAGAAACATAAAAACTTTATTAATAATAAAGAGAAGCAGACATTATGTGAACTGAATGACTGTCAGTATCACAGAAACAGCTCAGTTATGTCCTCCAACAGTCAAATCCAATCAACATTCATATATTCACAGCTGCCAGAAAGTTATCATTCTAAACCTATGATCTCCAGATGGAGGTGAGAGGGCAGAGTTGTCAGAATAAATAGCTTCCATACATCTTAAAATCACTATTGGCTGTATCTGGAACTGAACCTGTGGAGAAAGTCTAAACTATATAATGTAAAAGTGTTTTAGTTATCACAGAAGCTCAAAGATTTCTCTGATTCACTAAAAAAAAATCCAGCAGAATGCAGTTTGTGCAGTATTTTTTATTAAAACTCCTTTTATTGCTTTTCCTTGCCGATAAGCTGTAGGATGTGTCAGAGAGGTGAGAAGAAAATGTACTTTTCAGGCATTTAGTCATCTTTATTCCATCATATTTTTGAAAGTATGAATAAATGCTTCATTGCACGATGATTCAGATGTTCACAGCTGTGCAGAAACTAAAGCAGCACATGAAGGGGGAAGGGGGGAATGGCATGGCTGAATGGATAGAGCGGTTGTACAATGATCGTAAAGTCATGGGATCGATCCCCAGACCCCGCAGGCACCACGCGGAAGTGCTTTTGGGCAAGATGTTGAACCCCAAGTTGTCCCCCGGGCGTGGTTTCTCGCTGCTCCTTACCAATATAAAGATGGGTCAAATGGAGAAAAAAAATTTCCCCAAGGGGATCAAAAACATAAGGAAAAAAGTGCCATCTATAGTGCTCAGCATAAATGAGTACACCCCACTACATTTGTCAGAAAACCTTTAGTTTCCTTCCAGAATCAACATTTTCTAGGAGATATCATATTACAAAATACTCCCACAAATGTGGGCCATTGATTGCAAAAATCCACCCATCTCATCCCAGTTAGTCTTAGAAGAAAAGCCACATTTAAGACTACAAAATTCAAATTAACAAGCATTCAACCACAGGTGAGCCTAATGATTCATTTAAGAGGTGTCCAGCTGACAGGTGAGTATAAAAGGGCATTACTTCACAAAGAAAAGCCCTTCCCATGTCATGCTGTCAGCAACGGCTTCACGTGGAAGGGAAATGTCTCAAAATCTGAGAAAGGAAATAATTTCTTTACACAAAAAGGTGAGGGTTGCAAGCAGATTTACATATCAGTCAGAATACTGCAGCAAAAGTGATCCAAAAATTTTAAGAAAGATGGAAGTGCAACCATCTTACAGAGACGTCCAGGCCGTCCACGGAAGTTAGCCTCTCGACAGGAACGTCTTCTGATGAGAAGGGCTGAAGAAAATCACCATGCAAGTTCACTGCAGTTAGCTAAAGCAGTAGAAAGCCAAAATGGAGTGGTTGTTTCCTGTGACATAATACGGTGCACACTGCAAAGGAATGGCATGCATGGGTATCGTCCATGAAGGAAGACTCTCCAGAAGCCCATGCACAAAAAAGCACACGTAGGATTTGCTAGGGCCCATGCTGGAAGAGATGAAGACTATTGGGACTCTATACTGTGGAGCGATGAGATAAAGATCACCGTTGTTGGAACTAATGTTTTCAAAACTGTATGGTGTCGTAAAGGTGAGGATTTCTAAGAGAAATGCATGGTGCCTACAGTGAAACATGGTGGTGGCGGTGACCTAATGTGGGGCTGCAGGAGTGCTGCTGGTGTTGGGGAGCTGCAGTTCATTGATGGCATCATGAACTCAACAATGCACTGCTCTATACTGAAGGAGAAGATGCTCCCATCACTACGTGCACTTGGTCGCCGTGCACTTTTCCAACACGACAATGATCCAAAACACACATCTAAAGCTACTGTTGCATTTCTGGAGGAGAACAGGGTGAAGGTGACTGAATGGCCAAGTATGTCTCCTGATCTGAACCCAATCAAACACCTGTGGGGAATTCTGCAGCAGCAAGTTGGGCATCACTCTCCATCGATCATCCAGGCTCTAAACAAAGTTATTTGTGAAGAATGGAAAATGAAAGATATTGCAATATGTCGCCAACTTCTTCATTCCATACCTAGAAGACTTGGTGCTGCCCTTGAAAATCACGGTGGTCATACAAAATACTACATGTAGTCGTTTTTGTTGTGGTCATTTTTGCTTCAACCAATTTTGTGATCAAAGTTATTTTATTAACCTTAATTTCCTGTTATGGAGTTAAACAAGTGTTCAGTAAAACCCAGCCTTGTGAAAATTCTGGAAATTGTGCTTGTGTTCATTGAGCTCCTCAATAAATTCCTACTTTTTAAAGGGCGTGTACTCATTTATGCTAAGCACTGTACTTTTATCACAGCCACTCAAACTAATGACAACATCCCTGCAGAAGCTATGAGCATCACTAACAAGTCAGTTAGAAGACAACACCTGCTGGATTCATAAAGTAAACCTACATTTATATAAAGATTTCTGTTAACTTCTTTCATTGAGTCTTTAGGAATGGATTTCATCTCCCCACAATACCTCAGTGATGTGAGCAAAATCACCAAAACTGACAAGACTGTCCACCTGTAACCGTAGACACAGTCCTGCTTCTTTTCTTTTTGAGTCTTTTGAGCTGATTTTATGCTTGAAGGAGTTATGCGTCCCTTTTAAGCAGCTGGCTGAACCTAAAGTTCAAAGAAAAAACTTTGAAAAAGACCTTCAAAATGTCTACGGAGCTTTTCATCCAAGACGATTCAGAACCACAAAAAGGCTAGCTCCCTTGACATAAAAATGGAGGAACTAGACGTATTCACAGCACTTTAAATCATCAACCGGCTACTTTTCCCTGGCTGTGGAACATCTGCTTCAAACAGGCTTTTTCTTTAGGTGAAATGCTTGGACACGATGTGCTGGACCTTGTAAATATTTCAAACTTATGAATAGAATGTGTGTTTGTATGTACCTGAGGCAGGAAGATAACCAAGAACAGTATGGCCATCTTCAAATAATTATCCATCACCCAGTTGAAGAAAGCATCTGTGCATCCTCCCACATAGATGAGGTTCCAATCGGATTTCTGCAAGAAGAGTAACAACAAAAAACAAACCATGAACAAAGCCCAGCAGAATTTCCCTGAAACAATACAGCTGAATCATTTAAAATTGGTTTAAACCCATGTTTATTATTTATCTACAGTTGGGACTTCAAGCAGATCTTACAGATTCGTCCAGCATCTTGTATCCACACAGTGTGTTGGCCACTTCATTAGGCTGGCATGAAGAGAAACGGACATAAAACGATTTAGTGTTAGGAAAAAAACAGATCGTTTAAAATCATCATCAGAGGTATTTAAAAAGTAAATAAATAAACAGAGCTACTACTTAAAAACTGGATTAAGAGGATTTTTAGTTCATTAGTGAGGTTTTTAAACTAAAGTAAAAGCGGTTTATTCACATAAAGTAAATTAGATTTTTATTATTATTACAGTCACTTAATTTAATGACAATTAGTTGAATCTCCCAAGTGTTACTTTATTTAGTCAACGATTCAGAGTAACACCATTTATTATGTGACACACAGGGAATAAGGTTATGAACTCAGCCCAAGAAACACCTGACTCATTACTCTGAGCTTCATTTGCATAGAAAACTTTCTTGTGTTTGTGCATACGAAATAAATGACTGCCTTTACACCACTTAGGCTATATTTGTTTTATCCTGAGGTGGTTGTAGTTTAATCAGCTGCAGTCCAGTGATGGCTGAAGTGGTTTTAGTGACATAAGCATTTTGTAAACCACACATTTATCCAAAGTTTATATTTATAATAGCAATTTTTCCAAAACTTGTTCTGCAGGAATTTGCCAAACTAGGTGTTGTCATTTAAATCAGCAACTCATTGGAGAAATTCCCATTTAAATAAAAATGCACTGCCAGTTTAGTTCCTCTAATCAAATTCTTTTCTTATTCTTGAAAAAAAACTACAAACATCCCATTATTAAGAGTTATTGAGGCAGTTTTCTGTTAATAATCACCGGGCTGAATTCTGGTTCGCGTTTTTAGATAGAAGAGTGGTTTAGTTTGTTTATCCAAGTGATTTTGTTTCTTTTTTCACTTTCTTCGTTTTGGCTTTCTAATTCTTTAGGGAGGGTAGACGGATGGGTTAAAGCTTTTTCCATGTGGGACAAATTTGCTAAAATAGCAGACCCGACCATTTAGAAGGACTATTTATTCAGTGTGACACAAACACATAATTCATGCGACACCAGTGTAGGCATGCATAGTATTTTGTTGTTGTAATAATACGGGTCGGACCTACCTTGGTGGTCACGCAGCAGGTATACGGGACTGCACAGGCCAGTGGACCAGGCGCAGAACAGTTGTGGTACATGTTGACTTTCCAGTCTTCATAACCATTTGCTCCACAGCACTTAAACTAAAAGAGACAAGAAGGGTGACGGAAATTAGAAGGATAAAGGTGGAAAACAGCAAAAAGCATAAAGACAAGAGATTAACTTATAGTTAGTCAATGTTATTTCTGCTAATCACCAGAGGCATTGATGGGTAGAATGAGCCACAATTAACACTAATTTGCATGTAATTGATGGTGAGTTGCTTGTTGTGATTGTGTCTCTCACAGGTGGCGGCCTGTGCTGATCAGACACGAGTACTTTTGTTCCACATTTAGCTAAAAATATAAAGCAGCAGGGCAAAACGTTTCCTCCTAAATCCATAAAACTTTCGGCCTTAAACTACAAGCCAGCACCCGTAGGTTCACCGACAAAAAGAGGACACCACCCAATTACTTTTTATCGGCCCTTCTTTTAGTCGTTAAATGCAAACCCTTGGGGAAAATAAAACATCACTTCAGAGGGGAAATAAATGAGATCTGATAAAACAACCTTAGGAATAGATAATTGCTTTGGCTAAGGAGGAAGCCATTTGTTAGTTTGTTGATAACCAGCTGTGACAGAAAGTTGATGTTTTATCTGTGAGTCTGCGAATCTCAGTGTGTACCAACTGTGCACCATTATCTGGTGCTAAACAAACCAAATAATATTGAACGTGTGGGCTAAGCCATAAATTTCACGTTTTCTGCAGACTTATTCTACCAATGACTTATAAAAGGGATAGGATGGAGGTTATTGCTCAGCTTGGCTCCAGAGGAATAAAGACAAAGACCCAGGTTAGAAATCTTGGTGTTATAATTGATTCAGACCCAAGCTTCACTGGTTACGGCTATAGTATCTATAGGATCAGCGTTTTATCATCTTCATCAAATAGCATGACTCAGAGGTCTCATGTTCAGACAAGACCGAGAGAAACTCATTCATGCATTCATCTACAGCAGTCTGGACTATTGCAATGATCTTTTGTCTGGTCTTCCCAAAAAGCTGTGAAGCATCTGCAGAATGCTGCTGCTAGAGTCTTAGCAAGAACCAAGAGAACTGAACACATTACCCCTGTTCTAAAATATCTACACTGGTTACCAGTAAACTACAGAATTGATTTCAAAGTGCTACTACTAGTTTATAAATCACTCAATGGCATGGGCCCAAAATACACGTCGGATCTCCTTCCTGTATATACACTAGGCAGAGCTATGAGCCCAACTCTACTACTTTTTGATTCAAAACTGAAAACTTTCATGTATTCATCATCCTTTGAATGAATATTTCTTATGCAACACATTCTGTACTGCACTTAAATCTGAAATTAGTTTGTGTATTTAATTTGTTCTAAACTTATTTGTATATTTTAGTAGTGCCGTCTCATTATTGTACTGTTTGTGCTATTCTCGCTAATGGGAAGCACATTGAACTGTCTCTGTATGAAATGTGTTATACTAATAAAGTTGCCTTGCCTATGTTTATTTTACAAATTGTTACTTTATGCACATAATGACAATATTTACTTTAAAATACAGAATTTTGAATGTTAAAAATTAAAATTTGAATTGTGTTTTGTTCTAAAATAAAGATTTTGTGCCACTACACTAAAATTTAACAATAAAGTTAAAGTCATCATCACACACTGATGAAATTACTTCTCTGCATTTGACCCAATTTTGTGGAGGGGAGTGGTGAGCTGCTAGCCTGGCAAGCCAGACTAAATAAATGTATTATTTAAACTTTGCAAAGCAAGAATTTGGTCTAGTTCACTAGGCTAGTGAGCTGCAGCTGTGGCTGCGCTCTGGAACTATTTGGTGGTGTAACCCCCTAACCTAACCCCTTAAAGCTGAGTGTCAAGCAGGGAGGCATTGGTATGACCCGACCCGGCTTTGACCCCCAATCTTCCAGTCCCAGGACGGACTCTCTACTACTAGGCCACTGAGAACATGGCAGAACTAAATTCAACTGAGCAACCTGTGAACAAAAAACATCTTCTGATAGGAATTGGTCAGTACTATGTTTGAACAACTTATTCAGTTTTCAGCCAATCTGAAGTTTAAAATGCTTTTTTTTTTTGTTTATAAATGCATGTTTTTCAAGCTGCAAGTAAAAAAAACATGTTATTTTCCAGGTCTTTGAAGTCTCCACAGGTAATTGCAAATATATTCGTGCAATAACAGGTAATAACAGATTTGGGTTTTTTCATTCAGAATAACCTTCAAGTTAATCATAAGTTTAAAGGAAAAATGTTTGAATTTTATTTTTATGGTTCTGGAATCTGATCTGTTCAAGAAACTGGATTTGTCCTCAAAACAAGAACCTGTTCATCTTTAACGCATAATTCTGCAAAACTCACTTTTTGCATCCTTTTGTGCGGTCATGTGGGCCTCTAAAAACACTTCGAATGTGAAAAAAAAACATCCATCTGTTTCTGTCAGGAATTATGGCCTAAAACAAGTAGTTTTAAAAAGTCCTCATTAGTGATGTCATAAAAGGGGAAAGTAGGTTAAAACCATCTTTCACATGCAAGAGAGCTGCTGCTGGAGGAGCAATGACCCCAAAATTCCACTATCTCCGCTCCGATGCACTCCGCTCTGGCACGAACTCCGCAGCAAAAATGGTCCTGTTGTAGTCAATCAGAGCTGTTCCACTACTGCGGCCGTGCGGCGCAGTGCGCCGCCCTCCATTCCGCCATCCGGCAAAAATAGGATCGATTCTATTTTTGCCGGACGCCGGAGCACCTCCGCAGTCAATGGACAGAAATTACAACCGCCCAACAGGAAAGGGAGCAAGCACAACTTCCGTTATTTCACAATAAATCGATAACAAAAAGTGTTTTTTTGTTTCATATGCACAGGTTTAACAACTTGTAACAACTATCAATGGCGGTTGAACTTTAAATGCACAAAAAGAAGCCATAAATACAGTTTCCACTACCAAAGTAGTCACACGTTGTTGATCCAAACACTGCTGATCTCTCAACACAAATGATGGGCAGATTAAACAGTTCATTTCGATGCTTCTCCCACACAACGGGTGTTTGGATATAACTTCCGCGTTTATTGCTCGGACTGTATCGCAAGATCTCGAAAATCCCGCGCATGCCTGTTTGCACAACTCAGGTCTCCACACCGGAGCGGAGCCATTGTAGAGCGGGTACAGTATAATTTGAGTTCGGAAGCGAGCGGCAGCGGAGGGCGGGGGCGCAGATATTGGAATTTTGGGGGTGACTCTTCTCCAAAACCCTCCCAGACAACTGAGCTTCTCAGCTTACTGCAGTCTGAGCGGGGGATGGGTGGGCGTGCCCAGCTCCAGCTTGTTTACTTAAAGGGACAGAGCCCTGAAACGGCTCATTCTGGAAGGTACTGAAACTGTCAAAAACAAAACAGTTGAAATTGTTTCATCTGAGTGGGAATTTGGGCAAAGAACTTAACGAACATGTTTGTATCGACCATAGAAACATTATATAACTTAACGAAAAAGATCATAATCCATATCTTCTTAAAATAACTTAGAATATGTACATTTCTCTTCATGAATATCTTTTTAAGCAGATGTGTTAAGAGTGAAAATGGCGACAGCAGCCCGAGTACCAAGCGTCTTATTTAACTGAGAAAACAAGTTTTTTGAGGGAGAGAATGTGAAGCACAAGGAGGTGATAAGACAAGATACAAAGAGGTACGATGAATAAATATGAGGCAGCGCTTTGCTAGGTGATAAGATTCACACCAGCTTGACATCATAAGAATGGGGTTGGAGAACTGGTTCAAGGGCCAGAGAAAGATGACAGAAGGGTGAAGTGGTTAGAATACCTTGGCCAGAAGCTAGACACTTTAGATCTGAAGCCTTCAAGAGCCTCTGCTGACTTTACCAGCAGCAACAGGGTTTCAGTCTATTACTCTAAAAGTAAATACACAATTGTTTGTGTCTTAATTAAATGTTTGGGCTTGGTGCAGCCTGCTTTCTGAGTCATCTCCTGCTTTCATTAAAAGGAAGAGGGATGCTCTTCAGAGGCCAACTCGTTGAAGGAACTCCCAGCCTGCAGCGTCTTCCAGAGTGAAATTATTTGCAGGAGGAGTGAGTGATTTTTAGGCCAACTGCCCCGCTGACTGATGACCTGCTGTTCACTGGCAGACTGGTGGAGTGAGTGACTAACTGTGTGGGTGACTGGTTCTGCATCGAGCGGAGGCCGGTGTCTGCACCTGCATTCATTACAACACATCATTTATCTTTTCATTTCTTTCTGATGCACAAAAAAAGATGCAAAAAAAAAAAAAACCATTGGATTAAAAAACAAAAGTGCATTTCAGGTTTATTCTGTTTTCTTCATAGCTAAACTTGCAAAAAACAAGACTCAACTACTGAACAACTTGCATCTAAATTTCATTCACTTTATCCAACTTAATAAAACTTAATTCATAAAAGATTTATTAATAATCTATAAATTGTTTTAGTAGTTTAGAAACATATTTTTGTAAACTGAAGCAGAGTCACGAGACAACAAATCTTAATTTAATGCCATCTAATGACTTAACAGTTAACTAGGTATTTATAGTTTATAACATTGTCACCTATATCCGAGTCATTTATATTAGAAGTCTTATTGTTTAGTAAATTTCATGTCCTTTTTCACTTATAAATTGATGTTCTGGTAGAAATATTGCATCTTTAGAAGTTGTTTGGAGAACTTGATGTAAAATAATAATACCGATTCTTTTTCATTATTGTTATTATCCGTTAACAACCCCAGATGTTGTCAGTGATCCACAAAAATTAAGTAATCTGTTAGTATTTGTATGAAATACACAAATATCTTTCATTTTGTGTGCATTCACATTAGTTGTTACTAAAATGATCAGTGTTTTTAATAGTGATGCACTGATATGAAATTTACGGGCCGATACCGATATTCGATATTAAGACCACTGTTGTGGCCGATAATCGATATTTGCAGACACCAATATACTGACAATATTGCTTCTAAAATCAGCAGATTTTGTACAGAATGAAAATTATTAAAGCCGAATTTACGTTATGTACACAC